AAAGTTTCACAATTATCTCTACGGCCGACATTTCATCATCAACAATGATCACAGACCCMTAGAGACACTTTTYGGAGGACGAAAATCATTTTCTACTATGGCTTCAGGGCGTATTCTACGTTGGTCGCTAACACTCTTAGCTTACGATTATGAGTTATGCTATTATGAGGTGCTCAGATACCTCATGCTGATGCTTTCAGTCGGTTACCATTGCCGGACACTCCGTAAACTGTTCCCATGCCTGCTGAGTCCATACTTCTACTGAAGTTTCTTTCATCTGCACCCACGTTGATTGCAGACCAATCTGCCCGTGATTCTGTGCTGTCAAAAGTACTGCGTTATCTTGAATTGGGATGGCCTGACTCAATTGATGATGACCTGCGCCCCTACCATAACCGCAGAAATGAATTAAGTCTGGAACAGGGATGTGTCAACAGAATTGTCATCCCAAGTAATCTTCAACCTGAAGTCCTTGAAATGCTCCACGAAGGGCATGTTGGTATTGTAAAGACAAAGTCCTTTGCAAGACGATACGTCTATTGGCCAGGCATAGACAAAGATATTGAACAAGCTGTTCGGGTTTGCAACACTTGTCAGAGCACAAGACCTCCTCCATGTCCTGCACCATTACATCCTTGGGAGTTTCCAATCGTCCATGTTTATGTCATGTTTATGTTGATTATGCAGGGCCTTTACCAGGTAACAAGATGGTCCTCGTGATCATTGATGCACACTCAAAGTGGATCGATGCATTTGTCACTGGAACTGCCACCTCATCTGCTACAATTGAAAAATTAAGAGCTTCATTTTCTACTCATGGTCTTCYTGACACAGTAGTCTCCGATAATGGCACATGCTTTACTAGCAAGGAGTTCAAGGACTTCATGGAACAGAATGGAGTTCGACACATAACAGTAGCTCCCTACCGTCCATCTTCGAATGGCATTGCTGAAAAAGCTGTCAACATAGTAAAGGATGGACTTAAGCACTCTGATGGAACTCTAGAAAGCAAGTTGCTGCGAGTATTGTTTAAATACCGCGCTACACCTCACACAACTACTRGGGAAACACCTTCAAAGCTTTCTTTCCAAAGCGGTCTGTGTTAGTTTTCCTACATCGAAACATGGCTGATGGTCTTAAATTATAATGAGTGTCTCTCTTGACTCTTGTACCATTAATCAGGCTATAGAGAGGATTGTCCGGTGCAATGTTCTTAACAAACCTAGCACATTTTGTGTCCCTTCTACTTGCAAGTGTATTCAGATTAGCTTTCTCTAAGGCATCTTCGYATRACATGTGCGAGAAAATGATTCTCAGAGCGCGTTTTTGTATGGACTCCAGAGAGTTTGAAAGATATTGCGGCAAGTTAGCATATACCGCAGACGCGTACTCTATTACTGATCGAATTAGAGAACAATAGACCAACACTATGTCGGCTGGTGACACGCCACAACGTTTAAGTTGCCGMAATGCATACAATCTACGGTTGGCCTTTTTCAGTAAGTAGCTCACGYGTGCATTCCATGATAAGTCATCTGACACATACACGCCTAGGAGCTTGAACGACTTAACGCGCTCGATGACATAGCCCCCGGTGGCAATGGACTGAGACACGTAGCTGTTGTACTGCAAAAAGTCAACCGACATTTCCTTACATTTKGACGGATTAAGGCACATGTTATTCGCTACAGCAAACGATTGGATATCTGATACAAGTGATTGTAAAATGGAAGGCGAGTTCCTAGGGATAATTTCTAGAATTGATAGATCGTCAACGAATTTTGCTCTAGGGCCTCMGGTAGGCAATAAATCGTTGGTCATTACTGCGAAGAGTATTGGCCCGAGCTTAGTTCCCTGGGGGATACCGCCATTCAATGTCATAGGTTCCGAGGTAAACGTTGATATCCTTACAGACTGAGTTCTGCCTTGAAGGAAGGACGCGATCCAGCGAATTAAAGAAGGATGCAAGCCAAACTGATTGAGTTTTCCGATCAGCATTTGATGGTCTATCACATCGAATCCTTTCTTGAAATCTGCAAAAAGAACCTCGCCCAACAGTTCCCCCGATCGAGACCCTCGAGAGCCAGATGTAACAGGAAGACAAGAGCATGCTCGGTCGATTTCCCTGCGACWTCAAATTGTTTGTTATYTAGGCAGTCCAGTATGTTGGGGAGAGCTCTACTYAGGGTAAACCCTTCCATCAACTTAGCCACCTGGCATGTCAGGGAAATCGGAYGAATGTCGCTTTCAATAGTTTTCGGAGGCTTCTGCTYAGGGAGGGGGCATACCGTAGCGCGCTTGAGTAGAGGTGGAATGTAACCTTCCCGTAGAGACGAGTTATACAAGTCTGAAATTACGGCAGAAAGTTCAAACGCGAAGGTCTTCAAAACAATATTTGGTATGCCGTCAGGTCCGACTGCCTTTCTGACATGAATGGAGCGCAATGACTTGTACGCCTCACGGGGCGTGACAAGGAGATCGTCAGGAATTTCGTTTACTTCGATATTTGCAACATCAAGAGGTGACAATGGT